AGAGAGAGAGAGAGAGAGAGAGAGAGGCTTGTATTCGCCACTGGCAGGACCCTTTCCAAAGTTAATGATTCGATCATTGCGACGGGTGGTAGCAGGGTGGTGGAAACGAATGGCGTGGGTCGAAGTAGTAGGAGAAGTGCCAGAGAAGTGCAGGAGAGGATCGGACCGCGCAAGAAAGTAAGCCCGATCTCAGTTCGAACGGTTCACTGCGATCGGTTCGCTCCGTCTTTGGTTTTACCGGTTTGCTGCGCGCCACTCGATCGCACACGAAGATCCTTCCGGTACTTTGTTGGCCGACGAACGACGTCTCAGAGGATATGCCGCACCGCTTCCGGCGCTTCTGTTCGCTGCCTCTTCTAACGCACGGGAATCCTTCGACACCCCTGATGCCCGTAGCTGCTGGTCGCTCCAGTTATATCGCCGTGAAATTATCCATTGACTTTGCATTGCCAGCTATTTTCAAACGTACGTATGTCAAATGGTTGTTAGATCATCATCGTGTTGCAAACAGTAGCCTCTTCTTCGTCGCTGTACCATACGAACGATACGAAATCGAGATCGCTGTATGCGTTTTATAAATTCCTTCTTTCGATTCCTCGAACAGCCGAATGTGTTTGAAAACTACAAATGAAGAGCTTTAGCGAGATTTATCTATTTTTAAATTGACCGAAATGAAGTTGAATTGAAACTATACACTAAGAATTACATGTTTTATATTATTTCCATTTTGATGGAGAGGATATTGTGGAAAGATTTATACAGATATTGTTTATATTGGAAAATGAGTCAAAATCATATAATTGTGTGTGCATAAAATTATACAATATTTTGAATCGATCAAATTTCCATTATTACTATGTTACTATCACTATATATTTATAATGTTATTAAATTTCTACATGCAATGTAGTAGAAGAAAAGTACATGAATGTATTAATAAAAAAAAGAAAAAAATGGCTTATTAAAAAAACCAAAAGTTTTCTTCTGTACGAATGAATTATTTTTTCAACTCAAGTGATAATCAATAATAATCTTGCAGATAGTGTAATGTTTATTTTTGTTTAATTTGTAACTTTGCATAACTTCAGTATATGGTAACAACCCAATTATCCAAAGTTTATATAATTTCTTTACACAAGTGACTTAAAGATGAATTTTCAAATTGAACACCATCTGTGTGTGTGTGTGTGTGTGTGCATGATAAAAAAAGTAGCAAACAAGAAGCAATTATAAGTAGTTATGTAAAATAGAAGTATTTCAGAAATACGGAGAATCCATTTAATTCTTCTTTTTATTTGGCTATCACGAACCACAGTGAAGCTGTACCACGATAATTGAACCGGTTTTTTAAAATACCTCTTACCTACTTCTTTAGTGAATTTAAACGATTGAAGATCCTTATATTATACAAATGGATTCGTTAAAACACAAAGAATATTTCTCAAAGTTTCCTTCCCAAGTGAAATCAAAATATTCTATAAAGAGAATGTAAGTAAAAATGTTGTCCTCAAAAATTTAGACATAGTAACAACAAAAGAGATATTAAATATATAATAAGAATTATGGTACACATTTAATCTACAAATAATATGCAACGATATATTTCGTAAAATTATATCTACTTCGTTAAGGTGATCAAACTGTACGAAATATTTTAAATATATATATATAATTTAAATTGTATGCATATACATACACTGATAACAATGTATTTATGACAGATGTGTAATATAAATATTATATGAACATATGTGTACATATACAAATATTCGATATATTAAACATATATTACGTATATCGCGCAATGAAGATGATTCTTTTCTTAAATAATTGAAACTGCAATTAATTTGTAAATCTATTCTGATGTGAAATGGTATAAATCAAACATAGTAATTTCACAAAGCAAATATGTAGTATACTAGGCACATACTATAAATAGAGTTTTCTAAATTTAATAAGTATAAGACAGTGATATCCTTCTAACTTTGGAATACATATATTTCAAAAGAAATTTTATTTAACATCTCTTTCACATGTACGAAATTTTATTCAAACTTTTTCCAACAATTTATTAAGAATGAAAAAGACAATGGTGTAATTTTTTTTAGAATATCTAATATTTTTTTAAAATTATATATTTCTTTGAAAAATCTTAATACACTTCGCTTAGATGAATATCATGATCTGCACGTTTTACGATTAAAAGTAATGATTAAATAGCGCAGTAGTACGTGTTAATTCTAAAAAAATATGCAAAGTCTGTTGATAAAACTTCAATTTATTCTCGAGTGTAAAATTTATGTAGCAACTCAACATTTTGTATAAACAAAATGGACGTTTCTGCGCTTGAGCGTCTCAAGTTTCGCTACTAAATCGCTTGGTTTTACGATGCAAATACATATAGCAAGTTACCATGTAACGAAATATTATCATGTAGCATTAATCACGCATATCGTTGAACCTCTGTACCTCTAACGAAGTACGTGATCGCAGCTTTATCGATATGGCTTGTAATTGCAAATCGTCAAATTGTACAAATCATCTATTCAAATCACTGCATCTGATCCTAAGTATTTTAATACGCTATATGTACAGAACTGAATCGTTTTATTCTTTTCTTGTTCATTGTTGTGATCGATGAAAATTTCCGATCGATCATATAGGATTTACAGATACATATGTTACATGTAGTATCAATTGGAAATTATTTCTCAGAAGCCTATTATCAATATAATCGTAATAATTTCATTTATGAATAACACATTGATGTGCGTAGCATTTTGAACAGCATATTATGATTAAATAACATTAAGTTATATAGTACAATCAAGAAAAGGTCAATGATTCTACTTGTGGGAAATAAAAGAGAAAGAAAC